ATGCGCTGGGATCGGTGGTAATGCCTTGTCCCGTCGTGTCGGGCGCCACCTATTGTCGAGTGTCCTCGTGGCGTTGGCATGCCGCTTGGCGCCCTGGCGCATCCACTGCGCCACTGCGGCGTGTATGTCGGTGTGCCTGGCGGGCGGGTTGTGCCTGTGGTGGTTTCTGGCGTTGTAGATAGCGTAGACCAATAGTGCCACTGACGTAAGTTCGTCGTGTGTTTTTACGTTCACATTGCAAAGCAGGAACATGTGGAGATTGGCAAAGGTGGAGGGGCACATGTTCAGCCTGCGCTCCATGGCGTGCTTCGTCGCAGGGCATCTGCAGTAGTGCTCGATGGAGTCCTCCGCGGCCCCTCCACAACCCAGGACGCAGCGGCTGTGTGCTAGGTGCCTCTGTTGGTGCCGCCTGCACGTGCACCATCGGTTCCACAGCGTGCCCTGCGGTGCAGACCCGCGGAGGGGCGAGTTCCGAGAGCAACTGGAGATTTGCCAAGGCCCAGCGGGTTTGCCATGCAGGAGTATTGCACGGGCATCTCGGAGGCCCCAGCGTTGAAACTTGTGGCGAATCCGGTAGGTGGGGTGCGGGGCATGGTGGGCGAGTAGCTTCTGGTATGCCCGTCGTCGGAAGTCCGTTTGGGGGCGCAGGGGGGGGACGTGGGTGCTGGAGTTGTTCGCTGTCCTGTTGGTGGAGCCGCTGCCGTCGTCCAGCGCCTCGTCGGTGTTGTCGTCGTCGTCGTGGATATGGCCGTCGTTTGGCCCGTCGGGTGGATTGCAGATGTCCTCGATTGCGCAAACATGGTGCGTGAACCATTTTTAATAGTCTTCGAGAGTAACCGCGAAAACCCGCGAATACAAGTCGTCCCACTGTATCCGGTTGTGTAAATACTTCGGGTGCGCCAAACCTTGTCGAAGATCAAGTACCTCGCGCTGATAGTGGGCCGCCGTGCATGCCGGATCCCACACGCGAGCTCGAAGTTGCGAGGCTCTGGCCGTCAAAGAAACGCTGCGGCACGAGGCTGACCGTCCGAAATGTTCCTTCAAGCGCCACAGATCATCCGGCGGCGCCCATTTTCCAGGCCCCTTGCGCGTCTTCCTGTGCGCTGATTCCTCCAGTCGCAATGTCTCTTGCGGGGCCGACTCCAATGGGCCGGTGTAGCCAAACGTAGATATGGCGAACGTGTTGTATGCCACTGTGTGGAAATGCGTTCCAACGCCGTGCTCGGACCACTCGCGACAACGCTGGATGAACTTAGCGTTGGGGTCTCGCCATGACTGTTCGCCCTTGCCGGGCCCAATCATGAACCCCAAATATTTACCACAGACAGACACGGGCATGCTGGCCCATTCAGGAAGACACTGATCGCGGCGATGCTGAAACTGCTCCAGGGTACCCTGCCCGAGAGGAATGGTCACACATTTCTGCAGATTCAGGCGGAGGCCCGAGATTTGCTCGAACTCGTCGAAGATGCGTTGCAACTTTGGGGAATCCTTCCAATAATCCGTGAGCACGAGAGCCGTGCCATCTGCGTAAGCACGAACAAGGACGTCGGGGCATTCCTGCTCTATGCGGTCCACGAGAACGTCGGCGACTGTGGCATACAGCAGCGGGGAGAGCGGGCACCCCTGCCGGACGCCTGCTTCCAGTCGAGCACCCGGTCGTCACAGATTTGCCGTGTCGGACAACGCAGTACGAGTCCGAATGCAGCGCGCGGACTGTGTTCATGGCCCAATGGGATTCCACTCGACGAGAGCACCGTGAATATGAATTCCTGGGATATGGAAGGGAACGCCGGTGCGTACTCCACGAGCAAGCGCGCCCCGTGCTCCTCCTGCAGTGACGTGATGATGCTGGACGTGTGCACGTCCAGGAGGTTCGCCAGGATGGCGCGCCCAGGAAGGAACCCTGCTGACGGGGGAGAATACATTTGGCGAGGTGTTCCTCCCAGCGGTTGCGGGCGGCGCTGGCGACGATGCGGTTGTCAGCGTTGACGATGTTCAGCGGTCGTGTGTTGGCCGGGACATATGCCTTGATGCCGTCTGGCGTGGTGCTTGAGCTTTTCTTCGGTAAGCATACCAGGATGCTCTCGTTGTAATTGTGAAGTTGGCTCAGGGCCTCGTCAAAGAAAACTCCCGGAAACTCATCCTTCCCCTGCGAGCGCCCAAAACATTGCGCAACTTCGTACAGGATAGATACACCGAGCGGGCCCAAAGCGCGCCAGGTTTGGAACGGCACCCCATCAGGGCTAGGTGCCGAATTTCTGCTGTGGCGGATGGCGAGCTCAACGTCCTTTCTGCGAATGATCCAGTGCCTCTCGTGGGTGGGTAGGGGGGTGCGGTGCGGTTGTGGTCGTCGGTGAAAGCCGCCCGTGCCTTGATGCTCGTCGCGTCGGCGAGTCTCCCGCCTGGTAGCGGTCGTTGGCTGGGTCGGAATCTGTGAAAAGGCTGGTAGACTCCGGAGCCATTCCTGGAGCAGGTGTTGGTTGATTGGTTGCTTCCGGAAGGTTTTCGCCCAATGGGCGCTGAACTCCTTGCCAATAGCTGCCGGGTCTGTCGCGCACTCGCCAGTCGCTGTCTCGGGGGCGCCCACGGTGGTGCAAGATCCCGGCATTATGCGCTTCAATCGGCTGAGGACGTTAGTCTTGCGGATAATCATTTTGTAGTCCTGGTTGCCCTCTTCCCGCTGTTTCTGCATGGCCGCGAATTCTTCTGTGATGCATCCTTACAATTTATTCCCAAATCGTGATCTCACGTGGGACTTCCTCACAACTTATGCAGAAATCGCGCTCTCGCGTGGGACTTCCTCGCAATTTATTCAAGCGCCGCGCCATCGACACTCAGGAATCACGCTCTCGCTTTGGATTTCTCACGATCTATTTGCGAATCGTGCTGTCGGTCGAGACTTCCTTGCGATTCATGCAGGACGCACGCTTCACCAACCTGCCTGCCCGACCTGCCCGTCTGGGCCCGCCTTCCGGACTGGCCCGTTAAGGTCTACCGGCCCGATCTGCCCGTCTTGTTCTGCCACGTGTTTTCTGCTCCTAGCCCCCCTCCTGCTACTCTGTCTCGTGCTCCGTCCTTCTCCTTCCCCCTTGTCCCTTCCTTCCGTGGTCTATATATATATATATATATATATATATATATATATATATATATATATATATATATATATATATATATATTAGAACCAGCGCGCGCGCTTCGCGCGCGCTCAAGTTCTAGTTGAGGTCACCGCTCAGGTGCGATGCCCGCGACGATTCTTACCACGAAGACGGCGGCGTGCACTGCAAGCCACGTGTTCTGGACGCGCCATGTTCCGGAGGAGCGTTCCCGGAGCATGGGGCGCCAGAGGCTCCCCCGGTCTTCCCCCCTCCCGGACTATCCTGCCGAGGAACTCTTGGGTTGCGCAGGGCCGGTCTTGCGGGCTCCCTGGGGCTCCCTGGGCCCGCCTAGGGCTGTTTGGGAGCGGACCTGGAGGCGCGCTGGGCCCTATTGGAGCGTCGCAAAGCCGAAAAGACAAGAAGGCCAAGACCCTTCCATTCCTACGTAAAATGAACGATGTTGGCCTGTTGGGACCCTCTTGGGGGTGCTCCTGGAGGCGTCTTGAGCCATGTTTGAAGCCTCTTGGGAGCTACCTGGGGCCTCCTGGGGCTCTCTTGAGGCGGAAGCCCTGGGTTTTCCGGACGCGGTCCGTCTCTTGGACACCTCTCGGGCCTGTTTTGGGGCATTCGTGGGCTGCCCTGGGCGCTTCTTGGGCCAGCTTTGGGCTCTCCGGGACCGCCTCGGGGCGGCGTTGGGCGCTTCTGGAGCTGTTTGGGGGCGGTCTCGGAGGCCTCCTGGGCCGCCTAGGAGCGTCGGACAGCCGCAAAGATCAGAAGGCCAAAACCCTTCCAAAACTATTGTAAAACCATCAATTTTTGGCCTGCTGGGGCCCTCGTGGGAGTGCTCTTGGAAGCGTTTGGAGTTATGTTGGAGGACTCTTGGGGGCTGCCTGGGGCCTCCAGGGTCACTGTTGAGGCGGGAGCCCTCGGTGTTCGGTACGCGGTCCCTCTCTTGGGCCATTCTTGGGCTTGTTTTGGAGCCTTCTTGGGCTGTCGTGGGCACTTCTTGGGCCAGCCTTGGGCTCTCTGGGGCCGCCTTGGGCTTGTCTTGGGGGCCTCTGGGGCTGCTTGGGGGCGGACCTGGAGACCTCCTGGGCCGTCTTGGAGCGTCGTACAACCGAAAAAAGCCAGAAGGCCAAAATCCTTCCAAAACCCTCGGAAGACCATCAATTTTGGCCTCCCGGGGCTCTCTTGGGAGTGTTCCTGGAAGCGTCTGGAGCCATGTTGGAGGCCTCCCGAAACCTCTACCACGTGCTTCGGCGACATGGGTCGGAGATGGGAACTATTCCTGGTGCTGAAACAGCACCAGGGTCCGTCCAGAGCCGCTCGGGAGAGGCCCCGAAGCGGCTCTGGAGAGGCCCGGGGGGGGGGTCCCCCCATGGCGAGTCGAGGCAGCTGGCCAGAGGCCCCCGGCCTCGTACCCCGATATACATATATATATATATATACACACAAGGGGGAACGGTAGAAGACAAAGAAGGCGGGTTTTTAAGGTTCGGGATATACGTGTTGGATGGCACGCGAGCAGATAAGAGCGAACAGTCTTAACATGGTTGTTGCTGTTGTTGGTGGTGTGGTGCTGTTGTTGCTGTTGCTGTTGCTGTTGTTGTTGCTGCTGTTGTTGTGATTGTTGTATTTTCCTTTTTTGTTTCCCTGGCGGACCGATGGTAATATATGATTAACAATTGACGACCATACCGAATTTATTATGCGCAAGGAAGAGAGGACTCATCAGGCCCCCCCAGACCCCTCAGAACATCCGAAAGCGCCCCAAATCGTCCGAAACCTCATCCACCCTCTATGCTCGAACCAACCTCAATCCTCAGGAGGACCTGGCGACCCCCTGGCGGTACCCCCCCCCCTCTAGCACTGCCTGGTGGAATTCGATCCACGGACAACCCTGGGGCCGGGTGGAGTCCGGGCACGGCCACCTCCATGTATTCGAGAGCAGCACCTTGGAAGAACAACGTCTTCGCCCAACGGGTGCTGCCCACTCTTCCGTGCAGCTTGGGGCACGACGCGCGGATGTACAGCCCAGGGCCAATTCCCGTGAGCATCCAACCGTCGTCGTCAACGGACAGCCGTGACCCGCCAGGTGACATAATTTCTCCGAGGGCTGCGATCCCTGGAGGCTGCATGTTATTCCCGCGTGGAGTGGCACACGCGCAGCCTCTGAACTTTGAGCCTATAAGCTGCGCGGAAGACGGTGCAAGTTGGAGAGAAGGGCGAGCCCGCGTGCGGCGACGAAGGCTCAGAACAACAAACATTATCGTGTAATGCAGAACCCGTGCGTGGGTGACTTCAAGCCAATGATTCGGGGGGAAGGGAGTGCCCTGATTGATTAGCACCGGCTTTCCGACGCCCGTTGGCACCAATTTGCCCACTGGGAACCATTCTGCCGTCCCTTGGGCTCGCTGGTGCCGAGAAGCGGTTCGACCGCTTGTCGTTCACGCCAGGCTAAACCAACAACGGTGTGCGTGCTCTAAGCTCCATTTGAACATGCCCACAACCGCCCGCAGTTGCGCCTGTAAGTGAGGGGGCAGGGGGTCGTCGGCAGTTTGCGAAGCTCGTGAGCAGATGTGAAGACACGATGCTTCTTTACACAACGAGCCCACCGGGGCGCACTGAGTTCTTTAGACAACGTGGGCGACGCAACAAAACGGGGCCGTCTTCGCCGACATTCGCGCGCAAGCTGCTCGCGTACGGTCGGGCGTAAGCGCCCTCGCTTCCAGCGTGGCGTGCCGCGCTGGCGGCCCGCGTGAGCTGCTGCGTGACGCCGCTAGGGCATCTTGCGCAAGACCCGTCTTTGATAGTCGCCCACGTGGCTGGGTCGCGGATGGGTCGTCGGCGAGTCGGCGGGCGAATCGCGCGGCGAGTCGCGGGGCAGGGCGCGGGTGGGTCGCGGTGCGGGCGAGACGCGGGTTGGAGAGCTGGGCGGGTCGCGGGCGGGTCGCGGGGCCAGGCCGGCAGCGAGAAGAACAGCGTGAGTCTGCGCCGCGGAGCCGCACTTCTCGAGTAGGGGATCGACTACAGAATTGACTTACCCCAGAATGGATTTCCTCGTCGAGTCTACCAAAAGACGTAGCCTTTTTGCATGGATTCGACGAACAACCCAAGTTTGGGGTGCATTAATTCTGTAGTCGAAACCCTACACACAGCCGGACCTAGATATGACAAAAAACATCTCTCAAGAACATGAGGTCCTCCGCCGGCCAAATTGAAAAATATTCGAGAGCACCCTCCCCCCCAGGATGCACAAACACATCCAGCAAACACGAAGAACATCAAGGTACCCTCCCCGAACTGACCTCGATTTCATACCTCGGTCCGGCTGTAGCGTGAATCTCCGCCGCGGAGCCGTGCTTCTGCCATGCACCCAGGGACAGTGTAAGACCGTTCGGCCCCCTCACTCTGACGTCAGACCCGCGCATCGTTCACGCCAGACTTCGCTCACTTGTACTTGCGCCTGTTCACAACGGATTGTCCCTACCCCCAAGGTGAATACGGCAGACTCCCATGAGAACAGCGAGTCGAGGCATAATCAACACGGCCAAGAGATGTTGCTTCCATTGGAAGAGCTTGAGCGAGTAGTGCGCGCGACTGTGGGAAGAGTCGCCACGCGCCCATCCGCTTCTGAACTGCGTGTGCTCGGTGAACAGGCCAGGAGCTGGTCAGCAGGCCGTATCTGAAATAAGTACATCCCATGGCCAGGTGGGGCAACCCTCCACGGTGGAACGCGCACAGGCCAGCGGCGGCCAGTACACGCTGGTCGGAAGAAGTAGGTAGAAGCAGGAAGTAGGAAGCCGGATAAAGTAGATTGGGATCGGGCCCGCCCAAAGAAGAACAAACAACAGCCAAACCTGATCGATTCCTGAAGCAGGAGGACGCTTGACGTAGATTGGGTTCTGGGGATCCGGGAGTGCCTACTTCCAACGACCGATGGGTAACATGAAAACCTCGGGTGACATTCTCGGATGCGCTCGGCCAGCGAACGGGCGCGAGACTCGCTGGAAGCCGTGCTCGGTGAGCTCGACGTTGGCTCTACAGTAGGGGCTCGCCCACAAGAGACCTTCCACAAGAAACCCAAGCCTGAGACCCCAGGACGTCCGTTGTTTTTTGGTGTGGGAGCGTCACGATCTCCATCGAAACCCAGTGCAGCCTGGAGGCGAGCAGGGTGCTTCTTGGCATGGGCCTCCACTGTAACATGAGAATCTTGGGTGACGCTTTCGGATGCTCTCGGCCAGCGAGCGGGCGCGATCCCTGCTGGAAGCCGTGCTCGGTGTGCTCGACGTTGGCTCCCAAGAGAAGGGAGGCCGCAACGTCCCCCACCCGGGCCCAGCCTCGCTGTGCCGCTACGAAGATCCCGGGGTAGCCCAACACAGGTCTTACAGACTAGGCCGATCCACAAGAAATCTTCCACAAGAAACCAAGCCCTGAGACCCCAGGACGTCTCTTGATTTCTGGTGGTGGAAGCGTCACGCTTTCCATCGCAAAACCATCGACACCCAAGAAACCCAGGGCACCCTGCGGGCAAGCAAGGTGTTTCTTGGCATGCGCCCCCACTGTATTGGGTGGTGCACTCTTTGAGCGGCTAGGACACCCAATTCACGGATTCCCAAGCGTTCCCGCGTGCCTCTGAAGGGTTCCCGCAGGACTCTAGGGGCTTGTCGCATGGCTCTCCCCGAGGCTAGAGGGCCTGAAGATAGGCCACTGGGGTCGAAGAGGGCACCCAGACAATCCAGAACAAGCCTCCAAGACGGCCCAAGAGCGCATCAAGACGCCCAAGACGGCCCCAAGATAACGCAAAAGGCCCCCCAAGTCGCAAAAACAATTGAGATACCATAGTTTGTTGACGCATTAGAATGTTCTCGCCTTTTAGGGTTCCCAGCGCTCCAAGACGGCCTAAAAGGTCCCCAAGCATCGCCCGACGACGAACCATATGCCCCTAAGATGTCCCAAGAGTGGGAGCACGAACTGGCATTTCGAGCCCTCTACTCCAAGAGGACCCCGAGACCGAACAAGCAGGCCCCCAAGAGGCTCCCAGAGGTTCCAAGACTCGAATGTGGGATCGACTAAAGAACTGATTTACCCCACAATTGATTTTCTCGTCGAGTCGCACGTGGATATTCAACGAATTTCTCATGGATTCGACAAACAGATCGTTCCTGGGGTAGACCAATTTTGTAGTCGATCCCCTACTCGAAGGAGACCGATCGGTGGCCACAAGAGGCCTCCGAGAGGCTCCAAGAGGCCTCCAAGAGGCCTCCCAAGAGGCCCCCGAGAGGCCTCCCAGACCCTTGCTGCGTACATCTGAAAGAGGCCCCTGGCCCACGACCCAAGGCACGGTGGCGACATGGGCCGAAGGCCACGAGATCCGTCGCCCCCTGTGGTCTTAAGACGAAGCCAGGACGAGGGGTGAAGATAAATCGGGAATCTCTGAGATCTGGCGGCTCTGGAGGATATCTCGGGCGCCGCGGCCTTCTCAGAGCGTTCCGGAACGCTCCGAGAGCGTTTTCTGGAACGCTCTGGAACGGATCTATCTTCGTCCTGGTCCCGTCCGACTGTGGTCTTGCCACAGGGGTGCCCGGCGTGCTGAATTTCAGGTGGCCTTTGGCTCTTTTCAAAACTTCCCTGGGGGCTTCGGCACAGCGCGCCAACCACCCAGAAACCCGCCGAACATGCCCGGGTCGTGGGTTTTCAGGCCCTGGATGTCGTCCAACACGGCCCAGAGACGGCCAAGATGGTCTCCAAGTTCGCCCAAGATGGTCCGAGATGGCCTCCAAGACGGCCCACAAGGATCCAAGATGTCTCCAAGTCCGCCAAAGAAGCCACCGAGACGGCCCAAGATGGCTCCGACATAGCCCGAGACGGCCCAAGAGACCTCCCAGCGGCCACTAAGATGGGCCAAGAGGCCTCCGAGAGGGCCCTCGCGAATGCCCGAGGAGGCAGAAGTCATCGATTGTCCTCCGGTTCGTGGAATTATTTTCGGCCCTCCGACGGCCCGAGACGGCCCGAGGGGCCCCCGGTGCTGCCCCGAGAGCGCCCCAGAGGCCTGCCGTGGCCCAGGAGGCCCTAGGACTGCCCTCAAAGAGGGCCCCCAAGGCGGCCCCCGACGCATCCCAAGACGCCCGAGATGGCCTCCGAGACGGCGCTGAAGCACCCAAAGGGGGCCCCAGGTAGGTTCTGAGAGGCCCCCTGGACGCCTTCCAACGGCGTCTTGGCGGCTAGGCACGCCCTGAGAAGGTGACAGAGGCCCCGCCCCAAGAAGCCCCCAAAGGCACCCAAGAGGCCCAAGGAGATGCCCAAGAGGCCTCCAAGAGGCCCCCAGGAAGCTCCTAGGAGGCCCCTAAGAGTGCCCAGTAGGCTCCCAAGAGGCTTCCTCCTCCTTTTTCTTCTCCTCCTCCTCCTTTTCCCTCCCTCTCCTCATCCTCCTCTACCTTCCCCCACGTGTTCCCCGAAGGGTTCACAACGGCTGAATGAACACATGGTCCAATAGCTTGGTCAAACTTTTCCCAAACGTTTGGCCACAGGCGTATCCTACAAGGCAGGGGGTGGCGGTGATTCGCCGTAGGCGTTTTCGATCCGCCGCCCGCTGTTGCCTGCAAGAGGGGCTGTTGGCGTGTCAAAATCTACCTGTTTGAATCCTTCCACACAATTCCCAATAAAGGTCTCGGCTCAAACCTCCGGCCACCGAAACCGTTAGTGACAAATTGTTCCCGTCGCCTTTCCTAGTATGGCTCAAAGAGGACCTCCAGGACAGCCACGTTGACCCAAGCTGGCCTCCAAGACGCCCCAGAAGCCTCCAACACGGCCAAGATGGCCACAAAAGGTCCAAACTGCTACCAAGACGCGACCTAAGATGACTCCAAGATGGCCCAAGAGGCCCTCCAGACGGCCCAGGAGGTCCTTCAGACGCCCAACAGGGCTCCAAGTACCTCCACGAAGCCGAAACCATCGATTCCCATTTGTTTCTCATGATTTTCGCCTCTTCGAGCTTCAAGCAGCCGCAAACCGCCCTAGAGGCCTCCAAGATAGCCCCAAGGCGACCTTCGTGGCCTCCAAGAAAGCCCCAAGAAGGCCAAGCGGGCCCCAAGAAGGCTCAAGAGACCACCAAGACGGCCCCAAGATGGCCTCACAGAGGCAAGAGCGGCCTTCTAGCGCACGGCTTTTGAGCCTCGTTCAACCGATCCTCAT